TACATTTTACTATAAATATTTGGTTTTTAAATCCCGGGCAGCTTCAGCCTTAGTAATTAAACAAAGGAACAAAGAAAATGCCAAAATTTAAAAAGCACATGAGAAATATTAGAAATTTCATTGAACTGTAATTCAACATGGATCCTAGAAATTTGATTAATTTTAAAAGCCTCTTTCTAGGGGAATTATGAGATTAGTGAAAGAGAAAGATATTTTAAAAATCACTAATCTATGTAATGTTGTTCAGAGTATTTCCCACAACCAAGAAGTTCTTCCTTATTTTTTCTTTAAAAGGCTTACCCTTCCACATATATTAAAGGGATAAAAAGGAAGTATTACCAAAACTGTTATCCCATACACTCAACAAATTAGATGAAATAGACAAATGTCTAAAAGAGAAAAAGCACAGTACCAAACGTACTCAACAACTGAATATCTGAATTGCCCTGTATTTATTAGAGAAATGAATTTACAGTGAAAAACATTCCCACAAAATTCCCCCTAGCTGTATATTGTTTCAATGGTGAATTCTGTCAAGCTTTTAAGGAAACATTAATCATAATTCTACCAAAAAATTTTCTAAGAAAAATGAAGAAAAGGATTTCCAACACATTCTAAGAAGCTAGCATCACTCTGATGAGAAAACCAGGCAAAGCCATCACAAGACAAGGTTATGGCAGACCAGCATCTCCAGTAAATACTAAGCAAAATTATTTTCTTGACTTTTGTCAGTCTTGTATCCATAGACGAAATATGGTTTCAGTTGACAGAGAAGTACAGCGCCAACATGAATGTTAGTTGATATTTTAATTTATCTTAACAAGTAAATCAAAGGGGAACAACAAAGACGCATGTCTGAGCTTCACTCAATCGTCAGGATGTGAGCAACTTCTTCACTGAATTGGATAATTGCTTTCAAATGCTGGAAGGATATTTACTCACTGTACTCACCATGTTTATTCACAGAATTTTCAACTATAGGCCTCACACTCATGTAAGTTTAATCTGCCTCACCTTTCTCCATAATTTTAATTTAGATAATCAACAAAACAATAAATCAAAACTTGTAGTACTTGCCGGACTGCGTGGTGTAAATAAGCACTCCAGGCTGATTTCAGTCTACCCATGTGACATCACTGAGCCCAGAATTGGGGAAAGATTATCAATATCACAACATTATATAGTATTTCTAATGCATAGTTACAATAGATGTAAATAGCCTCAAGAGTAAAATGAAAGGTAAGGGCAAAATGTAGTATAATAATTGTAAAGTAATGTTTGAGTATTTACTACCTGTGTTTTTAATATCATTTTATTATAAATTTATAAAATTCCACATTTAAAAATTACTATCTTTAGCCATCAAACTGAAAAACTCCTGAATATCTAACAACTGGTTCTTGCAAGATGGTATAAGTCAGCTCCAGCATACCACTGTATTTGGGGCTGAGAGGAAAATATAATTGATAATTTAGCATATTTCAAAGCATTGATTTCAAACTGGACCCTGTTTTCTAACTCCAGTTTTTTGTTTAATTTTAAGCACGAATTCTGTCACAGAGATTAAAGCTACTCACTCCTCACCCAAACTTGCTAGGAATACTGGGTTACTTGAAACTGACACATGTGGAAATGCAAATAATATGCAAATACAAAAACTCAGGGCTGCAAAGATGAGATCAAAGAAGTAGGAGTATTGAGCAATTCACTCAAGCAAACACCTAATACATATTTTCCTTCCTCAAACTAATGTTTTCCAGACTGTACTAATTAGATTCTGGGAAGAAACTATTAGGATCAGTGAATTTAGGGTATGGATAAGGTTTGTTTGTTTTAATTTTCCCACTGGTACATTCTAAAATTGTCTCTAAAGATACATTTTTTTACACTTCTGTGTAGCGAAATAACAATACATTTTACTATAAATATTTGGTTTTTAAATCCCGGGCAGCTTCAGCCTTAGTAATTAAACAAAGGAACAAAGAAAATGCCAAAATTTAAAAAGCACATGAGAAATATTAGAAATTTCATTGAACTGTAATTCAACATGGATCCTAGAAATTTGATTAATTTTAAAAGCCTCTTTCTAGGGGAATTATGAGGTTAGTGAAAGAGATAGATATTTTAAAAATCACTAATCTATATAATGTTGTTCAGAGTATTTCCCACAACCAAGAAGTTCTTCCTTATTTTTTCTTTAAAAGGCTTACCCTTCTACATATATTAAAGGGATAAAAAGGAAGTATTACCAAAACTGTTATCCCATACACTCAACAAATTAGATGAAATAGACAAATGTCTAAAAGAGAAAAAGCACAGTACCAAACGTACTCAACAACTGAATATCTGAATTGCCCTGTATTTATTAGAGAAATGAATTTACAGTGAAAAACATTCCCACAAAATTCCCCCTAGCTGTATATTGTTTCACTGGTGAATTCTGTCAAGCTTTTAAGGAAACATTAATCATAATTCTACCAAAAAATTTTCTAAGAAAAATGAAGAAAAGGATTTCCAACACATTCTAAGAAGCTAGCATCACTCTGATGAGAAAACCAGGCAAAGCCATCACAAGACAAGGTTATGGCAGACCAGCATCTCCAGTAAATACTAAGCAAAATTCTTAACATTTTAGCTAAGTGAATACAACATGTTTGGCATATACCAGGAATGCCAGGTGGCTTTAACATCGGAAAAACAATGCAACTCTATGTCTTAGTCAGTCTGGGCTGCTGTAACAAAAACACCATGGCCGAAGTGGCTTAAGCAACAGAAATTGATTTCTCGTGGTTCTGGAGTGAGGGATGTGCAGGATGGCGGTGCCCGCTGGTCCGGTGTCTGGGGAGAACCCTTTCCTGGTCTGTGGGTTTTCTCCTGTCCTCTGTGGTGCCCTCACCACTTCTGGCTGTGTGCTCACAAGGCGGAGAGCAGACAGAGAGGGTGAGCTCTCTGAGGGATCTTCTATAAGGACACTAGTCCCATTCACAACGGCTTCAGCCCTGCAGTCTGATCACCTCCCAAAGGCCTCACCCCTAACACCATCACACTGAGGATTAAGATTTCCACGTAGGAACTTGAGGGGGACATAAACATTTAGCTCTTAGCACACACCTTATTAACAGACTAAAACAAAAATCATCTCTCAATCGATGCAGAAGCAGCATTTGACAAAATCAAACATCGTTTCTGATAAGAACTCAGTAAAATTGTTAAAATGAAATAAATAAAGCCCAGCACGAATGCGATCTCCAAACAAGTCTTTCTTACCCACAGAAAATAAATTCTATCTCTTGCCTCTGAATTTCTCTAGCATCAATTATTGCTACTTCTCATTCCTTACTTGTCGAGTTGTGGGTTACATAAATAATTTCAGACAGTCTGCTGCACAGAAAGTATTGCTTGGGGATTCAGGAAATGGGGCTCCGCATGATCTCTACCATGAAATGTGCTTGAACTGGTCACTTAACCCATCTGAAAAGGAAGCTTGGATGTGACCCCATTGGATGAATCAGTTCACGAGATCTTTATTGTAAAGTACTGTGCTTGCTGCTTCTCAGCATCAAGTGCTTCTGTGAGACCTCTGGCTTCCTGTTCTTTGCAGCCCCAAGCCCAGGTCTAGCCCGGAGGAGCAAGACTCCCAGCATCTGCAGTGGGGGGACGCTGCGGCGAGGCGCTCCACGGCGGGGCACTGCTGACAGGGAGCTCAGTGTTCTCTGTAATCATCACCGTCAACAGAGACTGTCCCAGATCTGAGCAGTTTAAGCCCTCTGGGCCTTGGCACAATTTGTAACCCAGATTAATTAGTTAATGTTCACAGAGCACTTTGAAGATGGAAAACACTGGGGGAGCGCAAAGCCCATTAATGATGATCTGATATAAATGTGAACTCCAAAGTCAGCAGTTGTAAACTGGTTGCAGATTCCCAGCAGCGTGTGTCTAGGATAGGGAAGCCCTGTGAAAAGTGTCACGAACCTCTCCACCCTGGATGCTTTGTGGCAAAGGGGGGCTGCCAGGACCACGTGGGCAAGTGTGCCTTCTAAGCACCTCGCTAGATGGCCCAGTGATGCTACTTGTTTGCAAGCTGGATCCTTCAATTTTCAGTTAATATATGCTGAGAGCTTGTAGGGTGGAAGCCCTTTTGAAAGACATATCTAGTAGAACTCAGAGTCCCACTCCTGCCATCACAAGACTTGGGGAAATACAGTGCTGGGCCCAAACCCCAGCTCTGCTCATTTTACTGGGGCTTTGGCAAAGTTATGTCATCTGTATAAGGCCCAGGAGTTTCTCATGTTTAAAACAAATAAAAATCAAATGTAATATCAGCCTTTCAGAGTTGTGTCTAAAATATCTAGTAAAAAGTTAATATATCTTGGGTGCTTGAAAATAGCAAGTCTTGTTATTTTGTTACTGAAAAATGTCTAGGATACCAGGAAACCAATACTTTTGTGCTTATACCCATTGATGTGACCTTGAGTTGCACTTGCTAGTGGTACTGCTTTTTTTAGGACCATCTCCCTTCTTGCCTCTTGAGGCTCCCTCCGCCCTGTGCCCCCTCCTCAGTGGTCTTTCTTAGAGGAAGGAAAAAGGAGGTCTGTTCAAGGCTTTCTTGGCCTAGCTGCAGCGCTCAGGGCCCTCAATAGCTCATTGTCCAACGACCTAGTTGGTCCAGGGAATATCTCATTTCTGGAAGAAACTCGATGTCCCTGAGCGCTTTGAACACAGCAGGGACATCAAAGCACAGCTGTCCCCTGGCACAGCCCCTTGGCCCCTGGCAAGACAGTTAAGGGCACATACTTTAAAGGCCTCTGACAGGGTCTCTTCCTGGGCTAGGAGAACGCGGCGAGTCGCCCTCCACCAGGTGGTGCCTGAGAAAGCTCGCACGCAGCGAGCTGAGGCTGTGACCACACGCTCTTCCCCAGGCTTCCTCCAACCAACCTTGGTGGCCCCACCAGAGCCACAGAGCCCTGCTCCTCCAAGCTCTGCTTAAGAGAGCCAGGGACCCAGTCCTCCATGGGCCGGTCAGGGGAGAGCCCTCCCTTTGAAGATGCAAAGTCTATGAGTCATTCATGCTCATGTGATTCATAAGCCAACTTCAGAGGCCAGGCTCTCTTTAATACTCATTATTCCTTCAGTAGACGGAGGTGGGCCAATAGGTAATTTGCAAATTGCAGGACTTAGTAAGGTGAGACTCTACAGGCAGGGTCATTAATGCATTATTTTTTTAAAGAGGGGTTGAGTCTGTTTAATTTTCCAAATTTTATATACATCTGAGACAATGTCTTTCATTCCTTCCACCCTCAGGGCTCACGAGAGTCAACGTCAGCTGTCCTTCCACCCGTCGCCTGCTTCTGGGGGGCTCTGAGCTGTTGGTTATGTGCACCCGCTGCCGCCAGGCTGCCACGGTCAGTGTGTGTCGGGCAGAGGCCCTCAGTGGGCACTTGCTCAGTGTCAGACTCTGCGTGCACTCTCTGAGTCCTACTAACCATTCAGTGACTTCTTGGTCTGACTTCACGAGCCCCCATGCCTCTCTCCTTGCCCTGATGTTCATCCCCCTGTCCCCCGGCCCTCTTGGCTGTGCTGTACAATGCAGTGCATTATGGACTGAACTGTGCTCCCTGCCCCCCACCCCCCAAAAAAAGGTCTGTTGAAGTCCTACCTCCCAGCACCTCAGGATGGGGCTTTATTTGGACACAGTTGATGTAATTAGTTAACAGGACGTCACGCTGGAGTAGGGTGGACATCTAGTGTAATACGACTGGTGTCCTTATAGGAAAAGTTCATGTGACGATACAGAGACACCGGGAGACCTCGTGAAGGCATGACTGGAGTGATGCTTGTATGGGGCAATGAGTGCCAGAGATTTCCAGAAAGCCACCAGAACCTAGGAAGAGGCAAGGAAGGATCCCCTATGGGTTTCAGAAAGAGCAGGGCTCCATCAGCCCCATGATTTCAGACTGCAAGCCTCCAGAACGGCAAGACAATAATGCATGTTGTTTTAAGTCACCCAGTTTGTTTCTGCAGCCCTGGCATGCAGATACACAGGAGTAAGACGGAAATGCCGGCTTCTAAGGCTGGGCCTGAGGCAAGGGCTTTGTGGGCAACGGAACTGAAAGATCAGGTGGCATTTCAAATGCTCCATCTTTATACACCTCTCCTGATTTAATCATGTTAATAACCTGGCAAAGGGGCTGTTAGTGTGTTGAATTCAGAGACTGAGGCTTAGAGCGGTGAGGAAATACCCCTCCCTCTCCCACAGCTAGCAGGTGGCTGATGAGGGGCTAGGTCCCCATTTTCCTGAACCTTCACTTGGGTGTTTTGTGCGACAGGGTATCTTCCACATAGTCTTGAGCTGGACTAGAGCTTTGTTCACCGGGACATTCTTTGTCGTTCTTGGTGGCTCTGCGGCCATGGAGTTCAATCACACAACGCCTTTTGGTGAAAGAGGCTTAGGATCAAGCTGATGAGGTTCTGTCCTTCCTTGTCTCTGTAGGAAGAGCTTTGTGATCCCAGGAGGGCCATCTTTTCCAGGGTGGTGAGCTGCAGGCGGGCCTCCTCTGACAGAGGCTCCCTGGCCCTGATTCAGCTGACAGAAGGGGACACACCAGCTAGGAGCGATGGCGGAGCGCTGAAAATACACACTAATCTAATCTTGTGGCGGTTCTAGATGAATCTCAGGAATGTGGGAGGCTAGCATGTCAGATAGGCAATTATTGGCCGGATGCAGGATTGCGTAATACCAGGATGACTCCGGCTTCCTGCTTCAGCTCGCATGCGGTGAGCTTGCCAACGAGGGTTTATCTTCCCAAGAGAAACATGCCAATTTTGGGAGGATATGAAGTAACTGTGATTATGGGAAAAAAGACATGCTTAATGTGAAAACAATCAAGGTCTCTTTCAGTCTGTACTCTGATCTTTCTCCTTTTTTATTTTTGGCTCTGTCTCTTTTCTGCCCGTCTGTCTCTTTCTATCTTCCTGTCATTTGGTTTTTCTGAGTTTCTGGGTCCTTCTTATCGTTTGTTTTGCTTCCATTTTAACTTACCTCCTTGCTGTTTGTTCAAACCTTCATATGGATGCAGTGTTTGAGGAGAGGTGCCTCAGGGCATTTCCCAGAAGAGACGCTGATAAGATGCCTCTGTGATGGTTTTGCTTGGGAGGTACCTCGTAGACCAAAGAGTAAATGGAAAGGACTGTACTATTTAATATGCGACAAGCTGGTGGAATCTTTTGGTGACCGAACAGGCAAAGTGCCAGGGGCCTCATTTTTCTCCACAGGACCCCTCCCAGGCCTGCACCTGCACCCACCATGGCTGCTCACAGGCAGAACCACGGAGCCCCGTGCGTGTCCTCGGTGACACCGGCGCCGTGCTCTGCAGAGTGGCCGGTAACCTGCTTTCAGAGAGAAAAACGATTCACTTCAACAAAACAGGACACAGGAGGAACAGAAAGGCCTCACTCATATTTCTGGACTGTTGCTTGCTTGTTCTCTTGTTCCGCGTTTGCTTGTTTCAGGCAAGGGCAGGAAGGTCCAGGGCGGCGGAGTCGCCTGCTGTTACCTAGTGGCTTATCGGAACTGCTGGCGCTAGAAGCCAATGCCCACAACTCCTGGTCCAGTTTTCCACTAACACATGGTGCTTCCTCTCTTCTTGTTAATAAGATGTTTTGTGTGGTTATAACCATGCAATGTGACAGCTGCAAAGCTTATGGAGTCATAAAACATAAAAGTGTACCAAACCTGAGGCCATTTATATTTGCAGAAAAACCTCTCTGCATTTACTATTCTCTAAGATGATCTGGCACAATAAATAAAATGTCATTTACAAAGACAGAGAGATAAGTAGTAGCACTAAAGACTGGTTAAAATGGAATTAAAATGCTCATGAAAACCTTTTTTGGGACCTTCCAGGGGCCAGTGTTAATTATCTAGAAAATACAGTTGGTTCATTGAAACAAATGGATACAGAGTGATTAACCACTTGTTGGACATTTATTATTTGCTAGGCTCAATAGAAAGCAGAGAAGGAAATTAACTCACCACATCTCACTAGTTTTTTGTGAAGTTGTATTGTCTTATTTTCAGTACGAACATGAAGTTCAGAGCGGTTCAACGACAGACTCCAAGTGGAGTGGTTAGCAAGCTGGTAGGTCGTCGCTGAAACTTTGGTCTGTCTGACTCCCATACCTTTTCCTTCTTCCCACATGCTCTCCATTTTGTGCCAGGAGCTCTCCCCCAGGTACAGATGAAAGCCAGATCTTACTTCATTTTGGTAATGCAACTCTTTCTCCTCTACGCTTTCTATAAACTGCAAGTGCATTTGAGAAACACAGGGTGAATTTGACCTCCCCACGACATGATTAACCTAGATGCCAGGTTTCTTATTAAGAAATCAAAACCATTGCATTCAAATCCCTGATTTTCCCTCCAAATAACACGTATTCTCTCCATTAACCCCTGTGACAACTATCAAATAAAGGCCTAAAATGTGGACAGAATATTTTAAAATATAAGATCTATAAAACAAAGTGTGTCCACCCATCCCTTAGTATGGGTAACAGTCAACCCTTGCGATAAGGTTATATTTTGTCACTGTGCTCTTAACATTACTTAGATGCATAGATGTCCCCAATATGAAATGGTGGCTGATCACATCTCACTGTGCTTTATCAGTAAAATATTTACATAATAAATATTGTCAACTCCTATCTTACTCCAGATTCTTCCAGCTAGAATCATCCCTTATTGCACAGAGTTCTTGAGACAATTCTGAGCTACAGTAGAAGGAGTTTTAGAAACTCCACTTGGAGGATGGGGTGTGGGGGTGGGGCCTGCTGACTTTCACTGGGCAATTTCTGTACTCAGGTTGAGCCGTGTAGCAGGAAGCTTCAGAGCCGTGCACTGCTACTGACCTCACATCCTCCTCCTCCCTTTCCTGCTCTTTCTTCTTTCACTTCGTACAGTATCTTCATCCCCAGCATCACCATGACCGATCTGTACACCAGCCCTGTGATGGTCTTCATTTTCCAGATAAGAGAATTGTGACTCAGAGAATTTAGGTAACTTTCCCAACATCCCCAGCTCAGTAAATGCTCTGGGCAGAATTCAAACCTAGACCTCCTGACTGCAAAGTGTAAAGCTTTCTCATTACAGAAACACTAGGTTGTTTTTACCCTAGCCCCTAGCCATGATCTCCCTTCTAGACTGGTACCCTCCCAGCCCCCCGCCGCAAATCATCCTTTCCACCTGCCTAATGCCGACATCTGCCTACACATCTTTGGTTGACTGGGCACTAGACTCCCCTTGCAGCCCCACTGGGGCTGGCTACTGTGCCCATCAGCTTCCTCACCCTGTCCTGCTTCATGCAGGCAGAGATGCCTGCTTCCATTTCCTTAGAACCCAGTTGTAGCTGAAGTCCCAGAATGCCTTGTGCCCAAACATCTCAGAGCTAACATGTGCTCAGGAACATATGAAAACAATGCTAACTATGCTTTATTTTTACTAAATCCTGGCCTCATGACTCGTCATTTCACTAAGAAGTTATCTTCCTGAGTTGCTTCCCCGGCCAGTGGCCTGCCAGCCCTCACAGGCAGCTGCGGGCACTTGCTAGTGCTTGGGACAGACAGACCATCCCTTCCCTGGTTCCTCTCCTTCCAAACTCCATTCCACCTGCTTCTGTGGTCTGATCTACAACTGCTACTTATCCCTTTGAACTCTGTTCCCACACTTGGACTTGGTCATGTCTCTCTGCCTCTTGCCTCTCGGTGCTAGGAAAGAACTTTCTGCCTTGAAGCTGGGCGTTTTGATGCTGGGATGGCCTGCCTTGCCCCAGCTCAGCCCCTTCCGAGAGAGGGCTTACTGTGACCGTTTGCCTTTTGGTCACAGAGGAAATAGACAATTGCTTGTGTCTGCCACCAACCAGCAAATACCTCTTAGACCCTCTCCCTCACCCCTGAACCAAATACCTGAAGTTCTGACAAACCACAGCTATCTGACTTCCCAAACCACCATAAAATAAAGCAATCTTCCAAAAAAGGATGGAAGTTCAAAGAAATAGATGGGTCCAGACAAAGTTATGTGTATTTCTCAATTCCCCTTCCTTCATTGGTTTTCAAATAATTCTTTCCACTTGTTTACTCCATATGGAGATGCTTCTAAGGAAGATATAAAAACCTTCTGCGATGTTGCAAAGAAAGGCTGGCTCCTCAAGTCCCAGATCCCCAGTCTATGACTAGTATGGGAAAGCCCAGGGGACAGCGCCTGGGGCTGCAGGAAGTGCCCCTGCTGGGTCTTTGTTCTGGCACCCTATTGCCCAGTTGTCCTGGACACATCTTCCCACGTTTCTGGGTTCTCTCAGCATTCTTATTTACAAAATGAAATAACAGTTACAAGCCCTTCCCAGGATTCCCAATGAAGGGAAAGTCAAATGGTGAACTGCATCTACAAACCTCTGCAGTGCAGACACGGTGTGTGCACCCTGCTGCTGGAAGGAGGGTGGGCAACGGGGAGTTTGTCAGGGGAGGGGAGTGGGGGAAACTCAGCAGACACCTGTGAGCCTGGCGCAGGGGCTGTGGACAGGGCGCTCCGGGGGAGGGGCCCTGACTGCCTCGCTCCTCTGAGTCCTCAGTGGCCATGCCCTCTAGGAGAGCTGAGTCATATGCTTCCCTTCTCCGTGTACTCCACTACTTCCAAGATGTTTACAGAGACTTCAAGCAGTGAACCGAGTTATTAAAAGAGTAGCAATTAGGGTGGCCCATCCCAGCAATTTAAAGTTTCCTGTCTAAGGAAGCCTGTGGGGAAGGGAACTGGCTTCTTGTCTCCTGATGGGGCCTCTTCAGGACTTCCATTTCTGAATGAAGAATCAGAGGCAGGGAAAAAAGTCTGCCTAAGGCCCAAATCCCTGGAGGGGCCACCTGCAGCCCCAGATGGTTCTGCAGTTAGGTGCCCCTCCTCTAAAACGTGCCCCAGCTTCCCTCTTTCCCGGGGGGGCCTGGCTCAGCTTTTAAAGCCTTTTGGCATCTTTTGCCTGCTTCCAAAAAATACGCTGTGTTGGAAGCTGCCTGGTAAATCACTCGTGGCACATTGGCTGCCATTGGACCCACAGAGAGAGGGTGCCTCGTGATTTACAGCTGCTGTCTGAGAGGGCTTTTCCGAACAGCCAGCTTAGACAAGGAGTCATCTCTGGCAAAATGACCATTTTGTCTAGCTCAAACTGACGCCTAACTGAGGAAGTGGGATTGCTTTGTTCAAAACTTGTTGGCCACCTCTCCCTTAAGCCCGCCAGAATTTCCAAGTTCATTTCTTCCATGCAACTGGAGCTCAAGAAATGAGGTCCAGAAAAGTGGTTTGTCAGGAGAGAGGCCGGCTGGAGCCCCTGCTAGGGAAACGAGCACTTTCTCTCTCTGAGCTGAGGTTACACAATGCTGGGCAGGCCCTCTGGTTTGTGGCTGTGGTTTCCCAGAACCCCAAGGGGCCCATCCAGGAAAACGCCCATGTTCCCTCTCCTTATCATTTGCTCCCTCCTCAGGGGATTTCATTTCCTTTATTGTTTCCACAGTTGCTGTTGGAAGTCAGGTGCCCAGGACCCAGCTTGAAAACAGACAGCTTCCAAAATGTTTCACTCTTCACCAGCAGCATGGTCTGGGGGGAGATCCTGAGCCCATGTACACGCAGCTTTTCATTCTAGTTCTAGTTTATTCTAGTGTGACAACTTAACTGACCTTTTTTTGCATCAATTCTCCACCTCCCAAATCAGAATCAGATCTTCTTCGTGAAACTAGTTTTTGGGTTGGACCTAATGTAGCTGGCAGAAAGGAGGTAAACAGGCACATTCAAATAAAAGGTGTATGTCTAATTTTGTTGCTTGTTTCCTTGTTTTTGTTTCTTTTTCCCCCTACAACAGTTTGCAGCCTATCAAGCTTGCTAAAAATTACTTTTCTCAGACTAGATTTGACTGGATACTTTCAGTTACAGAAAACTCATGAGGAAAGAGTTACTGGAGACATTATTAGCAGTAATACTTGGCTACTTACAGGATATAGATCATGAGAATATGTTAGTTTTTTCATGGAGAGAGAACATAGGTTTTCTCTCTGGGTGGAAACTCTCCGTGGCGATGTTTAATGCTGAATGGCAAATACCAGGTCATTTGGAAGAGGAGAGAACTGTTCACTTCAGTTTCTCCACAATGGGGTATTTCCCTCCTAAGGAAACCAGGAACTTACTTTCTTCTGGAAATGTGCTACATTTATTCTGAAATACATAACCCACCTCCCACTCCACATTTCCTTACAATTCCTTGTTTGTGCTAACATGCCAAGAACACAGGCATAAAGTACAGGTTTATGAACAAGAAATGAAGATTGTTCCCCTTTTCTTTATTTGGTGGTTTTGTGATGTGGTTAAGAACTTGCACAAGTGTGCCTCATCTCATGCCTGGATGTACAATCTCATTCCAGAGATTCACTGGGGTTGTTTGTACCTCTTGGTATTATTTAGAAATTTTGCTTCAAAGAAACAGAAGTAGACAAAGCTAGTTATTGCCACTGTATCCCTTCATCTTCTCAGAGAATACCAGACTGAGGCTCCTCTGTCTGTGCTCCACACCCGCGCGCACACACACACACACACACGTACATGTGTGCACACACCAATTTCTTCCATCTCCCAGGTAAGCCTATATCCCCTGCTTTCCTCTGGGAAGAGTTCTTATACTGTAGCATTTATATACAAACTATATAATCGGAATTCAAGAGATTAGATTTGCTCTGGATTGGAGTACAGGAGACGTGAGTGTATTCTTCAGCTTGTATTGCAAACTGCCTTGCCGGCATGACCCTGGGAGTTTTTCCTAATTTGTGGGTTTATGGTTTGCCCATTTAGAAGTTGACACAACCAGCTCAGCTAACTTGTAAGATCTTTTGTGATACTGTTATGTGTTTTACTTGATTCTAGATTTTTACTGCTTCTAGTCCATCTAGAGCTCCACCCAAGAACAAAGAGCAAAGCAAGTCTCAAATTTATGGGGTAAAAAGAGGGGTGGTGAGAACACACTGAGGGAACAAAAAGCAGAAAGACCCCTTTCTGCACCACTGCAAGCCTTGTTTACAGCATGGGTGTGTTAAAAACAATCATTTGTGTTATAAGAAAATGTGAACATTGGCTATAAGCCCCACTGCTTTCTCACCCATCACTCCGAGATTTTGTAAAATGAAATGATAATGTAAGGATGCCCATTGATAGTGAATGACTGAATAACACGTAGCACACTCATACTTTAGAGCATTAGACTGCCATGAAAAGGACTAAGAGCTAAATGGATTGACTTGGGAGGGATTTCCACAGGGTATTAGTGATTAGAAAAAGAAACAAGTGGAACAAATGTGTGAAGTATTATTCCATTTTTGCAAAACAGTGCCATGCATTTGATATGTGTGTATCTATTCATAGACCACTCTACTTAAAACTGCACACCAGGCACCCCCACTCCTGCCTACTCCTACCCACCAGGCACCCCCACTCCTGCCTACTCCTACCCAACAGTCTTTACCCCACTGTCCTGCCTGGTTTTTCCCCCACAACACCTATCTTCTGGCATACTATTTATCTACTTCTATGTTTATCATTCATTGCCTCCCATTAAATATATAAATAGTATGGGATGAGGAAACTTTGTGTTTTTTTGTTTGTTGTTATTCATTGCTTCATGTTCAGCAACTGGTATAATACTTAGTACATAACTGGTACCTAGTAAATATATGTAAGTTGAGTGAATGAATGAATGAGTGAATGAATGCACATGAAAATGGAGGAACCTACAGAAGAGATCATGAGAGGTGAAAGGTATGAAGGGGGAAAGCTAAAGAAAAAAATGAAAAACTAAGCTCCATTAACAACAGCATGTTAGGATCACTTTTGTGTATTTATGAGCATATTTGTGGTTGTGTATGTGTCATTAGAAATGTGGATAATAAATGGATGCCCTCAGACTTTTCTCCTAGGCATTCTATAAAGTTACTTCCTTCTACCTGTTTATCTTTAAAATAGACCTAATGCCACTGATCTTAGCACTGACCCAGGTCTTTGTGAGGGCAGTGAGGGCAGTACCATCATCCTGTATACTGTCTTCTAGATCTCGGATCCATTTTCTATCCCGTGCTGTGCTTACATATGCAAACGCTTATTTTGCATTCAGAGGAATGTGAATCTATAAGCAATAACACCATCTGCCTGCTCGGCCTGGGAAGCATCTTCACAGTCCTGGTGGGGATTGTGTCTCATCTTTGAGCTGTCAGCACTCAGCCAAGAGCTTGGTTTGGAGCAGGGCCCCAGAACTGTTTGCTAAGCTCTATGAATGTGCAGCCCAGATGTCACTGGGGAACATCTTACTTCTCTGGGATGCAGGTAAACTTGACTCAAACACCCAGTCTCATGGCTCAGATGAACCCAGACTCCTACAGATAACTGTGAGAATTCTGGCCTTTCTTTCTGTTGTTTAGCCCCATTTCTTTTCTGGTGTTTCACCTCCAGCCTTGGGTCTGCATGCTCTGACCTGAGTCCAAAATTCTATCCCTTACCTAATTCTCATTTTTAAAAAATTAAAAAATCACTTGATCTAAGGCTATTATGGATCCAGTAATTGTTTTTGAAGACTTGGGGAGTCTTATTACCCCTGTGTGGCTTTTGAAATCCTTATAGGCACCATATCTTCTTGCTAAACAGACTTCCAACCCCAGTGTTTTCAGGCTTTCTGGCTGTGTCTAGCTCCTCAGGAAGTGTCTACTTCTTTGCCAGGTCCTTGTGCCTCCCCCAGCAATCTGGAAATTCCAGTAAAGAAAATTTCTCCAGCCCCCAGGCAAGTATACCAAACAACTATGATGCTAATTCCACAGTAATATATTAACCTCAACCAAGTTTCAGGTGCTTCTCAGGGCAAGTTAGCAGATATGTTCCTATGTTTAATCCCTATGGATGGAGATTGGCATTTGCATAAATAATACAGACTTAACATGTTACATTAAGGTCAGTTAGAGAAGTCAGCACAAATAAAGTGCCATCTATATAAAGGAAGAATATATTAACTTTTAGGGGCAACACAGAATAGCGAAACTCACTGACGCATTCGATAGTGACTTACTAAGCATCTGCTGGGGATGTCCATCTTTGTACTGTGGGCTACCCATCCTGAGATCCTGAGATGAGTTCACCTTCTGTGAGGAGAGAGGACACACACTCAGACATGTGTAATGAAGGTTGGAAGCTGTTACTCTCACAGAAGAGGGGTGAAACGTGCCATGGAGTGCAGAAGCAGAGGCCTTCCATCCCATGGGCATATCTGTGCTGAGTTTGGAGATGGTCTATCACTCCGCTTGGGCTGCCATAAGAAAACACCACAGACTGGGGTCTTAAACAGCAGACATTTCTTTCTCTCAGTTCTGAAAGCTGGAAGTCCAAGACCCAAGTGCTGACCTATGTGGTTCCCGGAGAGAGCCCTCTTCCCGGCTTACAGATGACTGCTTTCTTGCTGTGTCTGCAGGCAGTAGAAAGAGTGCGAGCAAGCTCTCTGGTGCCCCCTCTACAAGGACACTAATCCTGTCGGATCAGGTCCCCACCCTCATGACCTCATTTAACCTTGATTACCTCCATAAAGACGCCATCTCCAAATACATTCACACTGGGGGTCAGGGCTTTGACATACTGGGGGGGATGTAAACACTTGGTTCATACTCATGCTTTCTGGGGAAGCTTTCTAAAAGGATATCTAGTGGTAAAGGTATTCTAGGTGAAGAGAATAGAAAAAAACGATAACAACAACAACAATAATAGCAACCACACACCTTCTCCCATGAAGAACCTTATGGATATCACTCTCCAATTCTCACAATATTATCAGGGAAGCCTTATGGCTCTCATTTAGTAGATAAGAAACTGAGGCTCCAAGAATTGGTTTGTCCACCAAATCATCCCACTTGGCAGAGAGAAGGTTAAACTCAGGTCTGATCACTATGAATGAGCACCGCCAAGTTCAGGATGCATACAGAAAGCTCTTTGTCCAAGTGCTGCGCATGACCTCTGCCCCTAGCTCCCAGGCAAGTCCTGGAGCCTTCGCTGTGAGGAGCAGGGAACAGGACTGCAGGCTTCCTTGAGTCTTTCAACTGCCTTGGACTGATTCAGAGCTGCTGAAGTGTCTATATATATAAATCCCAAGTTTCTCCTCTCAATTCTACTTTCATACCAACACAGTAAGCACCAGAGCTTTCTACCCATCTAAATGGCTTTTCCCTTCAGCCCACAGGCTTTTAAGTTGAATTTGCTCTACTAGAAGCAATTTCCTCAGACTTGGTCTGTGTGCAGAGAGACAGTGAAATGCTTCTCTACCTTTTATTTGACAAATTGGGTTCCCTATCAAAAAGAGAAGATACCCTAATAGTAATTCACCTGTAGCTATTACTCTTTCTTCAACTTTCTGAGGGGTTGTTAGTTTCTGTTCTCCCATACACTGTCCACTCCCTTTATTCTTACTGTGCATTGAAATTCCCCTTGAATTCTTTATGGCTTAATGGCATCTGCAGGTGTGCCTGGGCTGAAGTCACACTATGGAGAATTATTGTTGGTGGGTGTGTATTTCACGAGTGGAACCAATGAAATTGTGAATCCTTGAACCATTTATTTAATCTTCTGTGCCTGAATTTCTCATTCTATAGCAGAAAGATAAATACACTTCCCTCCAAGATCATGCTGTGGGAAGGAATAATGGATAATAAGCCACCCAGTACAAGAGGCATAAAGTAGATACTCAAACACTGGCAGTCTTTTAATTTCTG